AAAAAAAAAAAAAAAAAAAAAAAATCACCTGTTAGCAGTAGCGAATGCAGATCCCAGGGCTCGATCCTCAGTCTTTACCTTACCTGTGTACAGTACCTGTGTCGACCCCGAGAGTTGAACCCGTGACCTGTGTGTTCACAAAAGTTGGTAGGCTGTCGTAGGTCCGTAGGTTGTAGGGGTTCGATCTGTAGACTGTCGGGTAGAGGTCTTAGCGAGTTCTAGAAGTCGTAGCTGTAGCTCTTCTGAAAGGTCAAGCTCGTAGCTGCTACAGTCCTGAAAGATCAAGGTCGTAGCTGCTACAGTGTCGAAGGGCCAAGTCCACAGACTTCCGGAAGGTCCGGAAGTGGCCCTTCCAACATTGCTCACAGTAGACTAGAGGCAAGTGGGCAAGTGGTGAAGTCCACCCTTGCGGAGTCAGCGGTACCCAGTCCCAGTCGCACTTAGTCCAGTCAGCAAGTACCATATGGGACTGTGTGCACCAGGGGCCGGGTGGAAAAGGGGCAGACCAGCAGCGAACAGAAGTATAAATTAAGAGGCAGCGCCCAGCCATGCATTCATTCCTGCGTAAGCCATGCAGAAGCGCTGTCTGAGCGACTTGTGCGAGGTGGTCTGCAGAGTGCCCGGAGACGAAGTGGGCTGAAGGAGATAGTTAACCATAGCCATAGAGGGACAGCGGCCATAGCCGCCGTAGCTGCTAGGCGAGTGTATGAGTACTGGAGTGTGTGTATGCCTGTGGGATATCCAGGGTGATCCGGGGTTGAGTGAGTGCGAACAGTGGTGTTGGATAGAGAGATGAGAGTTGGAGTGTACAGGTGCTGATGCGCCATAGCCTGTTGAAGCGACTTTGTATCTGAACTGTGTTTTCGACTTCCATATCTCTGAGCTTTGAGTGGGCGCTGTGCGCCAGTGTGGCTCACCATCTGTTTGCATGAGTGCGGAGTGGAAGAGAAAGCGAGTCTGATTGCATCTTCGCCATTGGCTCTTCTATTGCTAGGGCAGGTCGGGGCATTCATGTGCAGTGCACACAGCCCTTTCCTTCTGGATGTCCTGCGCTTTGCACACTTAACTGCACATACATTGAGCACTTCTTGTCTGCTATTTAGCTGAGACGTAGATGTCAAAGGGACAGATATCGTTTGACGTAGATGTGTGCATTGAGAAGATGTGAAATGCGCAATGAATATGCAATACCTGCATGTTTCACATTATACATAATAGGCTTATATAATGTACAGTAGGCTTACATCATGTATAAAGTACTATAAACCACCTTCTTTTCCTTTCTTTTTTTTCCATTTTTTGATTCCTTGCTGGCGTGAAAAGTTATTTTTCTGAATGTCATAGTTTATGTGACCATGGGATGAAGAGTCAGAGCACTTCTTCGTGTTTTCTGGTAGTTTACCCTGTTCAAAAACTCACTGGGATTGATATGTGGTGCACAGTGCTACACTCGTGTAATGTAATGACCCGCCAAAACACAGACTGAGAACACTGCTGATTTCTGGGATTTGCCGCTGAATGCCTTGCTGAGACTCCCGCATTCTGCTGTGGTTTCCGAGTCTCTGTGTGTGTGTGTGCCTGCTGGTTTGCGTGCCTGTCTGAGTGCTTGTTGGCTGAGTGTGTGTGTGACCCGCAAGGGTACTTGGTGGTTGAAAGGCCCCGCAGGGCCGGTACTTACCTGTGCCCATGACTTAGAGGGTTGCAGCGGGAAAAAAACACTAAAGTAGCGGGGGTAGGCCCACGACACTTAGAGCAGCGGGGAAAAACAGTCAAGTAGCACGTAGGCCGGTACCACTCAAGTGGTGGTAGAAGTGTCGGGTACTGGAGGCCAAGCTGAAGAAGACAAAAAGTTGGCATTTTTAGAGGACCAGTAGCGGTAGGATAGAGGTAGGCCGGTACCAGTCCAAGTAGCCTGAGTCTAGGGCCTGTCCGAACGATAGCAGAGCCTGCAATGATGTTTCCCTCCGAAAGGGAGGAGGTACCGGTTGCTGGGAGGCCGCTCGGCCTACGAAGTCACTGCCCAGGAGACCAGTAGGCCGCTATATCTTCTGAAGGAGCAAGTAGCTCCTCCTCATTTGCAGTATGCAAGGATTGCGACATGCTGCTGGAGCCAAGCGCTGGACTTGCACAGCGCTGCCTGGAGGTGAAGGGCAGCTGGGCGCTCAGCCTGGCTATGGCGAGCAGCCCAGCCTGAGGAGGAGGAAGAAGGGGGCGAAGGAGGAGAGTGGCGAGGTACCTACCTGGCTATGGTGGACACCATCTTCATCACCTTGTTGGGCGCTGCATCTGGAAGGCCCCAGTTGGGGTAGTGCTGCACCAAGGAAGCTCGAGGCAGAGTCAGGCATGGCGGCGTAGTCAGCAGCGGCATAGCTGCTTTGGGTTGTCCTTTGGACAGGAGTGCAGCAACATAGCTGCTTTGCGTTGTCCTTTGCACAGAAGGGCTGAGCCCTCAGTAGTCTGCCATAGCCTAGGCATGTGAGAGGTGGAAGAAGGGGGGAAGCCATAGCTATGGTGGACCTGTTGTTGTTGTGTCAGCAGTAAGAGGGAACTTCGGATATTGCTTCTGGTTCATCCACTCGTTGTTATTATTATTATTATTGGAAGGAGAATAAGATTGGCGAAGTGAAGGAGGAGGAGGAAGGTGGAGAGAGAAGGGGGATTTATCATTGGTCTTGCTGGTGTACATCTTCTTCTTCTTCTTCTTCTTCTTCTTCTTCTTCTTCTTCTTCTTCTTCTTCTTCTTCTTTCTCTCTTCTTTGGTCTCTATCTCTTTGCAAGTGCTTTCATTTCTTTCGCAATCGGGTGGCATTGTCTTTCATTGTGAATTTGCACTTTGGGGATGACCAGGATCGTAACAGTAACTGTTAATGAACTGGAGTTCAAATCCTGTTGTAATCAGGTGTATGATACTGTGCATAATACATTTCTGTGCTGCCCCCTTCTTAAGACGGGAAAAAGCAACTCTTTGGCATTTATATTCATGCGAGCTGGTACTGAACTCCATTCGAAGAAACTTGAGAGCTCGCATGCCTCTCATCAGGCATAGAAAAGACTGATGGCATACTGGAACAAGTGAAACGGTTTTCACCTTTGCAGTAGCGGATGCAGATCCCAGGGCTCGATCCCTAGACCCCGCTCATCTGTGTACAGTACCCCCTGTGTGTTTGAACCCGTAACCTGTGTGTTAGGGGTCAATTGTTGTCTGTCGTAGGCCAGTGTAGCCGTCGGGTCTTGAACCGTAGGTCTGTCGCGTAGGGGTCAAGTCTGTAGTAGAGGTCGTAGCTGTAGTAGTTCTGAAAGGTCAAGGTCATAGCTGCTACAATTCCGAAAGGCCAAGTCTACAGACTTCCGGAAGGTTCGGAAGTGGCCTTTCGAGAATTCTTACGTTTGGCCAGAGGCAAGTGGGCAAGTGGTGAGTCCACCCATGTTGAGTCAGATGTACCCAGTCCCAGTCTCACTTAGTCCAGTCAGCAAGCACCATGTGGGACTGTGTGCACCATGGGCCCGGTGGAAAGAGGCAGACCAGCGACTTCCAGAAGTATAAATCAAGGGGCAGCGTCCAGCCATTCATTCATTGCTGCGTAAGCCATGCGGAAGCGCTGCCACATCGTCTTGTGCGAGGTGGTCTGCAGTCGCCCGAAGTGGAAGTGGGCCGTGAGGAGGACAGTGTGCCATAGTTAGTAGTAGCCGGCTGCCACGGCGGCCATAGCTGGTGTTAGTAGTAGTGTGTGTGTGTGAGGGTGTATGCGTGTGGGATATCCAGGGTGATCCAGAGTTGAGTGAATGCGAACAGTGGTGTTGGACAGAAGGACGAGAGTTGGGATGTACAGGCGCTGATGCGCCATAGCCTGTTAAAGCGAGGTTGTATCTGAACTGTGTTTCGACTTCCATATCTTTGAGCTTTGAGTGGGCGCTGTGCGCCAGTGTGATTCACCATCTGTTTGCATGAGTGCGAAGAGGAGAAGAAAGCGAGTCTGATTGCACAAGTACTTCAAAGAATTTATACAACAGCAATTATAGCCAGACTCAGTCAAGGAACTTCTAGTGCGAGTATACTCTGAGAAAGCCCAAAATAGTGCAAATGTCTTCACAAGTATGCCTGACATCCATTACAAAGTGATTGAAAATTTTGAAGTTGATGCAAACCGCATGTGATACAACTGATGGTAAAAATGACGTACTTGGCAGGTGGACACTATTGCACAGGATTCGTCGAGCTCTGATGTTCGTGTTGCCTTGGCAGAAGGGATGATTCGGATTTTGGAGAATCCATTAAGCCATTCGGTTCTGCGGGTTGGTCAAGTCATTTTCTCTCGCTTAACACAACCATTCCTATTCCCCCCCATATCTTTGGATGGTAGACCCCTGAACTTCATGGTTGCCTTCTCTCTCTCTCTCTCTCTCTCTCTCTCTCTCTCTCTC